TGTTCCGCCGTTGGTCACACTACCCCCATCCATCGTGAATTGCCAATAGCCCTGTTGGCTAACACTAACGTACGTGAGGTCGCCGATATAGTGGGCGGGATCTAGGGCCGCCCAGCAGTAGTTCACCGCCCGGTTGGCCATTAATGTCGCGGTTCAGGTAGAAGGAAAATACCGGGGCTACCAATCCCTGATTGACCATGTTGTTAAACGGCGGTGTAGTGCCCAGGTCGGACAGTGACGGGTAGCCCATGCCTAGTATACCGTCATAGACTGAATCGGGGTTATTGAGCATGGTGATTTCGGCAAATCCTTGGTTTTGTACTATTTAACCTCCAAAGTTCAACACATCTTGGTCTATAATACCAGTAACATTACTGCCATCGCCGTAGCCAATGAAAAAGGCGGTGCCGTTGGCCTGGTATGTGGTCGACAGCGCGGAGTTGTATTCAACGGTATTTGCGCACCCGGTTTGACAGTTTATGGACGGCACCCATAGGTCGGAGCTGCTCGTGTCAAACATTGCCTATTTGTGCATAATAAAATTAATTTATAATTAAGTGGTTAGAATTAGTTTTTATGAGAATATGTTATGTATTTTCTAAATATTTTTATCATGCACAAATGTATACATACTTTGAATGTTTGTGGTGGAGTGCCCAGCGATATCATTCCGTAATAATCTGAATTAAAATCATTGCTCAGTAATACTTGTGCTTGTCTAACTGGTCTAGGTCTATTAGTGTGGCCAGGTTTAGCCGGGCCAACTGAATGAGTACTAATTGGTTGACCATAGTTATGACCAATAGAATGGCCAGTTCTAGAATGTCTTGGTACTTTAGGGCCATGATCACGGTGACCATTTTTGTTGGATTTTCCTGAATACAATTTAATGCGAAATAATGCATCGCCCATCATAATCATTATATACAATATTAGAAGTAGGTAAGTTATGTTTAAAACTTTCATTTTAAATTTAATAGTATATTTACAAATAAATTTTTAATAATTTTTCAATAACTTTTTTAGTAATTTTTTTTCAAATTAAGCAATATTTATATCATAATTTTGACCTGGTTATTTTTATTAATAGTTATTAATACTAGATATTATTTACGATGAGTTATATAATAACAATTTGCTTAAATAAATATAAAATTAATGATAACTTATTTTTATATAATATATTGTTCATTTATATACTGTATTATACAAAAATACTATATAATAATTACTTACATTGAACAATGCGCATGGTTTCGCAAACTAAACTGGTTCATCCTAATTAATTTAAAAAATATAACAAAAATTAAGTTGAGTCATTATTGATATTATAAATATTATAAACATTTTTATATTTAATTACTGCCAGGTAAGAGTAGAAAAATTATTATTCTTATAATGTTTATAATTAATATAAAATAACAATGTTTATATTTTTAGTATTATTTATATATCGGGCACACAAATTAATCTTGATTAATGCTTGTTAAACTAGGTTAATGAACTAGTTGTGAGTCTCATAATTTATTTTATTGAGTAAATTACAGGGACAAGCGCTTATGTTAAGGTTAATACTGAAAACTTAAATAATTAATATATACTAAAATTATTTATTTTACAATTTTTTATTTATTTATTTTATTAAAATTTTAATTTAATTCGACTCCTTTCTTTACCCAATTTAATTATAATTGCATAAAAACATAATTCTAAAACTACTCTATGTAATAAATTACAGTTTTAATTAATTGCATACGCTATAAATCATATATTAATAAATATTTTAAAAATAAAATATAAATTATTAATTATAACAAGCACATCAATGAATTAATCAAAACAAAGCCCAAAAATAAGCTCTATTAATTTGGTTAAGGTAAATGCAACATTTAATTATTATTATTATAAAATCTATTAAACGTAATATGGATAAAAATCCAATTTATTATAAAATATAGTAACTTAATTGTATTAAAATTATATCACGTTCATAATTATAGGTTATATAAAGAATCAATCTGTGCACATTAAAATTTTTATAATTTTATAATATAATTATAATTGCATAAAAACGTAATTTTTAGATTATTCCAACCTATAAATAACAGCTTAATTTAGCTGAGTATATACAATTAATCATACATTCAAACAGACAATAATAAATTTCAAAATAAAATTTAATTTAAGTTAATTAATTTAATTTATTAATTATAACAAAAACATCAATGAATTACATATTATATTATAACAAAGTACAAAACAATGAATTTTATTTATTTTGTCAAAATCAACTTAGAATATCCATCCATATTATATTTATTTTATGATTAGTAATGTTATATTTTTAACTTTTAATTATGCTCCTATTGATTACACTCTAATCGCTTGTCCGGCGATAATGAAGGTTACGGTCGGCAATGACTGCACTAAACGGCAATCAATGACATACTGACCGTCGCTCTGATATGTGGCGCCAATCGCACGGTTTATGCGCGCAATCTTATGCTGCGATCTCACTATTAGCGATGTGCCGTTGTCTGCGATGGACTCATGCCTACACGTACTTTACACAAGCTCATTTATACTCTTAATATATCAAAGTTACATATATTATAAGTTAATACCTTGAAAAATAAACCAAAGTAATAATTATTCATGTAATTTAAGGACGGTACTAATCGTGGCCAACCAAATAATTACACAAATATTTAGGTAAATATATTGTAGTTTATATATTTATTTACAGTATAAAACAAAATTATAATTTACATATTCTATAAACACATTATGTTTATAAAATTTTGAAACATACATGTATATAACATATAGTTTTATATAATGTAAAATCACTGTGCCGATGTCAACAGTCCCTTGACATTATTTAACTCACAATCTGACCCACCAAATAGTAACCATGTATATTTTAGATAAAGTTTTCGATAAAGATAAGATTTAATCAATTTCATCTAAACATGTTTTATTA